TGCTCAAGCCAAACTCCTTGTCACAGTGATGAAATTCTCTTCAAAGAACCCGCGAGTAGAAACTTTTTGACAGTGTCACATGTTTACAGCACTACAGGAAAGTTGGTTTGAGCATAGAATTCAAACTAGAGGTAGCCAGAATTAATCTTGAATTTTGGAGATATTTCAGCATATGAAAATCATAAACGGACCAATCAGAGTTGTTCTTCCATTCATTCAACTAGTCAAAGGAAACTATGATCAGAACAAGAGTTCACCTGAATCTTTATGCTTAGCAATCATATACAATGGATATGGCTGTGGGCTTATCCCATGGCGCAGCGTCCGTCGTCCGTCAACTTTTTCCTTTAAAACGCTACTAGTCCTGAACGGCTCAATGGATTTTGACCAAATTTGGTCTGGAGCATCATTGGCCAAAGGGTTTTGTATAAACGGAGGGTATGGTCCCCCTGGGGCCAGAGGGGCAGGGCCAAATAGGGGGAAAATAGGTAAATCTTTAAAAATCTTCTACCAATAAAATTATTTTGACCAAATTTGTTTTAGAGCATCTTTGAACGGAAGGTGTGGCCCCTCTGATGGCATAGGGGAAATAGAGAAAAAAATTTTTTTTTACTTTACAAGTGAAGGGATTTAAACCAAATGCAGTCTGAAGCATGATTATAGGGACAAAAGAATCAATTTTGTATAAACTGAGGGTATGGTCCCCCTGGGGGCAAAGGGGAGGGGCCAAATAGGTAAGTCTTTAAAAATCTTCTACTCAACCCAATAGAAGGATTTTGACCAAATTTGTCCTAGAGCATCTTTGGACAAAGGAGACTCAAGTTTGTATAAATGGAGGGTGTGGCCCCTCTGGGGGCGGGGCCCAATAGGGGAAATAGAGGATTTTTTTCTCTTACTATACAAGTGAAGTGACTTAAACCAAATGCACTCTGAAGCATGATTAGGGAAAAAGAATCAATTTTGTATAAACTGAGGTGTGTGGGCCCCCTTCTTTGGGGCAGATGGGTGGGGCCCATTAGGGGCAATAGAGGAAAACATTTAAGGTCCTTCTCCTTTTGTACTGATGAAGGGATTTTGACCAAATTTGGTGTGGAGCATCATTGACCAAAGGGTTCTCAGTTTTGTATAAACGGAGGGTATGGTCCCCCTGGGGGTAGAGGGGCAGGACCAAATAGGTAAATATTTAAAAATCTTCTTCTCAACAAATAGAATGATTTTGACCAAATTTGTTCTAGAGCATCTTTGGACAAAGGAGCCTCAAGTTTGTATAAACGGAGGGTGTGGCCCCTCTGGTGGTATAGGGGAAATAGAGGATATTATTTCTCCTATATATACAAATGAAGGCTGAAGCATGCTTAGGGGGAAAAGGCCCAATAGGAAAAAAAGAGGAAAATTGGGACATAACATGGAAACTCATTTTCTTGGTGTCTTTCCCACCAAAACAGATTTATATGTAGTTTTTCTTTCAACTTTGTTTCTTGTACTCCTTTGATAAACCTGTATGGTACTCAGCAGGTTTTAAAATGAAAAATAAAATACCAGGTGAGCTATTAAGGCCCCTGGTATGATTATGGGGTGGGGTTTTCACTCATTTCAAAGTTATGACCCAATAATTAAGTCCCTAGTGGTGGCTAGAGACCCAAGAGTCAATTATAATATCATAATTGTGTTCATCTCTTTATGCCCAGCAAATGGTATATATGGTTGGATCTCAACTGTTTCAAAGAAACGTCCAGAAATAAAATCCCCAGGGTTAATTATTATACTCAGCGATGGTATAAATGGTTAAAGGGTGGGGTAATGATAATGTCCATGTGAAAAATACGGTTTGTATCCTTCACTCCGTTTAAGAGAAGTAGCTTAAAGCAATACGGACAAATTTCCCCTTTTTGCCACTGTCCCTCAGATCCCCGGGAGGTCAGCCCATCTGTTTGTACAATTTTGAATCAACCCTACCCGAGAATGCTTCCAACCAAATATGGTTGATATCCATCTCTCGGTTCCAGAAAAAGATCCTTGAAGCTAAATGGCAAAATTATCCCATTTGTACCTGCCCCTTAGCCCCTCCATCTATACTTTTTAATTCACACCCCCTGAGAATGCTTCCGACCTAACATGGTCGATATCCTTCTCCTAGTTCCAGAAAAGTCGAGCAATATGGCCAAATTACCTCGTTTTATGGCCCTCAGCCTATCCATTTGTACAATTCTGAATCCCCACCACCTAAAGATGCTTAGTCAAATTGGTTGAAATCCAATCAGCGGTTTCAAAGAAGTTGTTAATGGACAGACAACAGACACGGCATCACCTATATAGTTATTGAATGATAGAATGTTCTGAAGGTCAACAAGGTCATGTAGCATTGCTACTCTCCTTCAGCTCATGTAGCATTGCTACTCTCCTTCAGCTCATGCATGTGGAACTAGTACCTTCAGTTTTATCAGACATGCACCTTTGGTGAGGAAACAGAAAAGAAGATTGATTGGCCTGAAGAAACTAATTTTTGTACAGAAATCATGATTTTCTATGCATGGTCACAGTGACCTCGACCTTATTTGGACATTAAAAGCTATCCAAAGCAAGTCCTTTCGGTAAGAAAGAATTGTACAAAGATCAGCTCAAGGGAACCAAAGTTCTGTGCGGAAATGGAGGTGAGATGGGCAAACATTATTAAAATCTTTCCCAACAATTTAAATTGAGGGACAGTATAAAACATAGCGTGTCAAGGAGCCAGGATACAAAATACAACGCAAGAGGGGCTACATAGGACAATACTTTATTGTCATAATAATCAACGGGCAAAACATCAGGTACATACAATGTAATGATGTCAACATGTAACACTTGTTCACAAAAACAAAAAAAGACAGCATTTTTATAGCAAAAGGTCAGTACTCATCTAAATTGTTAGGATCAGCGCCGACTGAACAAAATATCTACAGAATAGTAACACATACAAAGACTCGAGATTCAATACACAAGCCTACAAAATTTCACCGAAAAGTAAATCGTTGTGCATGATTGTATGAATAAGTGATCTGTTATTACATCCACGAGGAAATGAAAACCAAATCAAAATAAATATTCCAACTTCAAAATCACCATCGAGCATCAGTACTTCAGACTAGTGTTGGGATAACCAATTATATTGGTGTTGTGTACGATATAATGTATCGGACTACAGATTTATCAAATTCAAATTTCTTACACTGCATCTACCCATTTTACATTGGTACATAATGTCTTTACTAAAGGTCATAACACCAGTGAACAACTAAAAAAAATCATCAACCCAGTAAAGATCTAACCTAGACTATGGTTTACTTATAGTTCTTTTCACGATTATTAATAAAGCTAGATTGACCATCACAACTCGAGCCTTTCAAAAGCCTGTATAGCCAAGCTTCATTATACTGCCACAATTTGTCTAAGAGAAACGTGGCCAATACAAAGGTGTTTTGCAATACATGACCTTTGAGATTTTTAATATTTGTCACAATTCATTTAAAAATGAATTCAGCTATACATGTTGGATGCTTGGACTAGGTAACATTACTTGCACTAAAAAGGATGACGCTGTCACTCCTGTACAGGGGTGGGGGGTGGGGGTACTAGATAAGCTGGCAGTAGGAACGTACAGGTTACAGGCATAAAATCACTACTGTTAAAGCCCTACTCCATATACCATGGCCAATATTACATATATTAAAATATCTTAAAATTTGGATGACTCGACACACAATAATGCAGCTTCACTTTTGATTTGCTTACACTTCTTAAATTCAAATCTACAAGAATTATTTTATACACACTTTGCAATTAGCATTCTTTTTAAATCCTTCCGAGTGCACTACAACTTGCGTACGTCTAGTGACCAGAAAACACATTTTCAGGGTTTTTAAAATAAATCTATTCAAATAATCCTCTGAATTCTGACATACACACTTTTACATTGTACATTTCATTATGAATTAAAAATATTTAAAAAAACGAATTTTGTTAACTAGTTGTTTCATGCAAACATCAAGACTCGTACAAGTTAATTATTTGATATATAAAAAAAAAAAAGCTGTTGTTTGCGACGGTTGAAAAATATTGATCAGCTATTTCTAACACTAACTTGATGGTTCTACTGAACCATTGGCCCCAGTGAATGAATGCTTCGTACCGATTTGTAAGCTTACATGCAAGGTTCCTTAAAATATTTTGAAATAAAGTCTAGGAATACCTTCAGCACGCACTTGGATCTGAGCAAGATATTTAAATTAAAAACAAGAGGCCCAATGGGCCTGCATCGCTCACCTGGTATAAAACTCACACTTGTAACCTTAAAAGTGATCTAAAATAAAGCTACAGGCAAAATATCAGTATTTATGATTAAAATTCGTGCAAAAGACCCTGTTAATTTTTTTTTAAACATTTCACCCCTGTGATTGAAAGTCGAACAAAGTCATTATGTTGAACACATTGTATAGCCTTTCATCTCAGGATGCAACTTGCAAAGAATAAACATCCTGGGACCCATGGTTATTCATAAGAGGTTGTTTAAAGATTTTAAACAAATTTGACCCCTGTGACCTTGAATATAAGTCAAAGTCATTCACTTTAACAAACATAGTAGTCCTTGATCCCAGCATATGCTACTAACTAAATATCAACATCCTGAGCCTTTTGGTTATTCAGAACAAGTTGTTGAAATATTTTAAACATATTTGCTCCTTGTGACCTTGAATATGATTCAAGGTCATACATTTAAACAAACTTGGTAGCCCTTGATCCTAGTATGCTACTGACTAAATATCATCACCCAGGGCATTTTGGTTATTCAGAAGAAGTTGTTTAAAGTTTTTAACATATTTGACCCCTGTGACCTTGAAAATAGATGAAGGTCATTTATTTGAACAAACTTGGTAGCCCTTCATCCCAGTTTGCTTCTGGCCAAATATCATCACCCTAGGCCTTTCGGTTATTAAGAAGAAGTCGTTTAAAGTAAAATATTGACGACGGACGGACGGACGCCGCACCACGGCATAAGCTCACTTGGCACTTCGTGCCAGGTGAGCTAAAAACATCACAAAGACTTGCTGAAGTCGCCTTTTTTCCACATTTAATAACTTATATCACAAGTAGGTACAAGACAAGAAAGTGTGCTTAGTTCTAGATGAAATTACACTGGCAGTTATTCCCGAGTTCACTGTTTGGCAGGGGAAGTAGGAGAGTTGGTAAACCATTGGAAATCACTTTAATCATAGTATCTGATGAATGATGAGGTCTCCCAAAGTCTAATTTGTGTTCAATTCAACAGAGCGAGGAAAACAAATTGCTAAGTTTTCTCATAATAAACACCAGAGTTTGTCAATAATAATATACATTGATCATTGTATTCTATACAAAAAGTTATAATAATTATGCATCTTGCAATTTCATTGCAAGATGCATAAACTGGCAGTTTTTCTTGCATCCTAGCCTAGTAGATCATTAATATACAGTTGAAAAAATAAATCAATTGCAATTCATGCACTCGACATTTGGAACACAGTAAAGTAACTGAACTGCATATTTCTCTATTTATATTGTTGATATTAATTAATTATCAGCATGATCTCGCGAGAAAAATATCCTAACTACTCAATAAACCTGTGGCGAAAAGAGATGTTTTACCTTCATAAAATGTAAACAGAAAATTCTAATCAGATTGTCAAGTTATTGCAAAAAAAATGACTAAATTCATGAACTACACGTATAATCCATTTATAATTACATTCATGTCAACTGACTGTACATAATGGCACACATCTGAAAATGTGGAATATATTTCTGTTTCCTAATGAAAACATGTAACATCGTACCAATTACATCTTCAATTTTTAACAAAATATGTTCCCAGCAAAAATAAAATTGAGTTCCTAATGGCAATAAATACAAAATTTAATCTAGACACGGATAAATTGGTATCCCATTTGAAAAAAAATCACAAAGTGAATAAGCTCAATAAAACAATCCAATTCAGGATCATATGGGAAACCTTAACCTACATGTTTAAAGCTTCAATAGATGCAAAGAGCTGTTCTGTGGACTTACATAAGTTTTTGAAAGTAAAATATTTTCTATTGTCATGACTAGCATGAATGGAACCAATCGGTAAATCAAAACATGTCCAATTAAATAATGTAGAGACATGTTAAACAAACTGCCAAGTGCTTTAGTTAATCTGCATACATGTGTAATTTACACACTGGTTTAAGCATTGGTAAGTGAAAAAGTGTGTACCAATTCAGTTTTCAATACTGGCATTATTCATACATAAATACTTTGCAAATGACATCCAGAATCCACTCTCTGTGTCAGCCTTAACTATCAGATTGTTTTCTTAGCTCTGTCACGAGTCAAATTACAAACTGTTTCCTGAGGCAGATTGATTAACCAAAGACGTTGAAGTTAAATTGCAGTCTCCTTATAAAAATTCAACAAAAGGTTCCATAAGCACAGTAATAAATATTATTCTGAGCGAAGCTAATAAACAAAACCAAAAACATGAGATTCAGAAAACTTTACAGATGTACCAGTGGCAAAAGATGTGTCTAGCTTTATGTTTCAGAAAGTGAACAAAAATTTACTTGTCCTCTTTACTCCTCCTTAGAAGGAAACCTGTCCTCTTTACTCCTCCTTAGAAGGAATCTGTCCTCTTTACTCCTCCTTAGAAGCTTAAGGAAACCTATATTTTACAATCTAGATACGAGACGTATTCTGAAAATTACACATGGGTTAATTAACTGGAGCACTGGACTATTACAGTATTTTAAGCTAATTGTCCTGTTTAAGGCCGAGAGTCCCACCACTTTTCTACTGTAATGACCGACATTAAAAAGTTACTTTCCTGGTAAATTGACGTTGTTTGCTTGATATTCATAAAGACAATTTACACAGGTTGCTAGCCTTTTCAGCCATTTATAATCAGTTTTAAAAGAATTCCTAATTATGTTGCTGAAAAGTAATAAAGTAACAAATATGACAATTGGTAGAATATTTGATATTCCACCTGCTTCATATTGACAAGTCTGTGGTTTCAATCCCTACAGTGGAGATATTTCAATGAAAAAATGAAAATATATTTCAATAAATTTCTTTCATTAAGATAGTAAGTGGGCAAAAAGGAATATATTGACAAAAAAAAAAAGAGCTGCAGTGTAAACGAATATATACTGAAAAGCCTAATTTCACTTTGTGCCAGAACAAAACCAACATATCAGGGATCTGATCCCAAAATGACCAAACTGTTTGTACAGACAATCAAACTAAATCTACAGAAGTTCTAAAAATGTATACCAAAGCGGTAGGACTCCAGACCTTGAAACATTCAATAGAATCAAATAATTTCTAAACATGAAATAAATCTGGTCTTTTACCTCGTCCAGCAACCATCCATCAAACTGAATGGAAGTGTTTTAACCTGAGATGATATCTGGAATTCTTAGTTTGAGCACTCCTCTTAAACATGAATATGCAAATACACAAACGGGAATGACATGTCTACCGACACATAAAATATGACTGTATGGAGCTACTAATAATCATGGTACAACATTGAAAGGTAATAGAGACAAGAAAATGGATACTGTCCAACGGAAAATCACACCGCAAGATGTATCTGTGTCAGCTGAGAAAACTTCCCGCCACAACTCCATTTATACTTCAAGGAAATGCTGGATTCGCACAAAGATATATGATGTCATTTCATTTTCACGATTTCTCTTCTGTCCATCTGATTGTAGCACCTTAGGTATTTGCTGTGAATACATTTGTTCTAATGATATTCCAGTGTGGCAATATATCTTCTGAACACAATTTCCCTTTTTAATATTCACGCAGATTTTTGACAAGACAGTTTTCACTCTAGTTATAGATTCAATTGTCAATGTAGATATCACAACTCATTTTCTTCATAATTTCTAGCTTAAAGCTAAAATAACAACCCGCCCCTTTTGACATAATTCCTGAAACTTTTTTACAATATTATTTCTATCTCGTCAACATTCCAAAAAGCAATAGTCTAGTCTTCCACCAACAATGTAAACTTCTACCTACAATGGACATTCAGAGATTCTTGACCAGCATGAAACAGTAGAATGTAATTGTGAAAAAAACGCAAGACGAAAGTTAAATTAAACCGAGACAAATTTTACAATTAAATTGGCTTCCCGTGACCAGGTTTGTCACATGCACTCATCATATGAGGTAAAAGCAATGGAAATGCTGGAATAGAAGGAATTGTTGTGTCCACATGAAAGTAGATAGGCATTGGAGTGAAATGCTGAGGGATACTGGATGAAGGGTGGGATACTGGCCATGGCGGACGTCTACTCCGTACCAAAGTACTTCTGGCCGAAGTGGTTGGGTGCCACAGGATGGACTTCAGATGTGAAGACGTTCATCTCCGGGAAGGCGTTTCGCACTGCTTTGGCAGCTATGGACAACATAAACGACATTATGCAAGTAAGTGCAAACATGTAGGGTAGTAACTAAAAGCTGTGATATCTATTATATTATACCAGTATATAGTATTATTTCCAACAATAGGCCAAGTCGTAGCATTTTTTAATGCCTGCTGTTTTATAGAAGTACTTGTAAATAGTCTATATTTTAAAAAGAAAATGGATACGTTCACAACATACTCGAGCATCACCAATAAGTGGGTTTTAAAGTTTATTTGGCCGACTAGTTTCGCCTCTTAAGTTGAGGTTTCATCAGGACAATAAAGGTGTCGAAAACATTGTATAATTGTCCTGATGAAGCGTCAACTTCAAAGGCAAAACTAGTGGGCCAAATATACTCTAAAACCCACTTATTGGTGATGCGAACTCCAAAACCCACTTATCGGTGATGCTTGAGTGTTTGAGATTATATCCATTTTCTTTATTTGTGCCTATATTCTGTTATCGCCCTGCATACCTTTTGGTATCCGTACTCAAAGCGAAGCACCCCACTGATCGACCCACAAACCTACACATGACGTTGGCTCTATTACCTTACTATGTTTTAAAAGATACAGTGACTCTTTTGATGACACCTGACCAGTATGTGAAATAAAATGTAATCTGACCCAGTGCTTGTTTAATCTGGTCAGACTTTCAAATATAAGACCATTCAATTTTTGGACAACAGGCAGTAATAACTAGATTATTGCAATGTTTTTCAGTGTTTCTTGGGAGAACAGTTTTCTCATCCCAAACATGTGAACAAATTCGAGAAGCCACTGCAGATAAACTTATAATTCATTACTAAGCATAGCAAGCTGATGTTTTTCACAAATAAATTGTGAAAAAAAGTAGTATTCAATTTATATTTTTGTTTATCACCTCTCTATCGGTTTTGTAACTAACATAATTTTTTACTTATATGCTATAAGTAACGGAACATTACAATTATAATTTAGATTTAAGATACATATCCTCATTTAACATTACGTGTATGCTACAGTACAGACAAAACAAAAGCTTCGAGTCTATGTACAAAGTGAACCTGTTTACCTGAGGGTGTTGTGAAGAGATTCATCAGAATGATGTTTTCCTCCAGCACTTTGTGGTCCTTGAGTATATTTACAGCTTTTATCACAGTATTTCCCGTACCTAAAACACACACAAATTGCTTTCTCAATGAGTTTCTTTGGTTCAGATGATCATAATAACAGCAACACATAATAAAGGTAGTATCAAAAAGTATGGTCAAATCTAAAAGTCCTGTTTTTAGATTCAATGAAACATTGATTAAAAAAGTGCAATCCTTCAACAAAATTTTTAAGTATGAGTATGAAAATGTCTTAATCACGTCCGTAAATTACTTATTGGATGTGCAGGGGTAATCCTGGAGGGGGCCATTGACCCCTCCATATTACAATTTTCTTTTAATTTACATAGAATGGCCCTCTCTTTATTTTTGCTGAAAATGGCCCACTGTTCTCAAATTCCAGGATTTTTCCTGAAGTGGATGTAAAGTCCAATGCAACTTACCCATAATCGGATACATGAGGAGGACTTTGCGCGAGGCAATGTCCGGCGGAAGTTTGGCGTAGACAACTTTGGCTTCGTGCGTGTCTTCGTCACTCTGTATGAGAATTTTACCAATTCGTATTGATCGACAGCAATCTCTCAGTCCTTGCTCCATAGCTTCACCTATCAAAGAAATAAATATATGTGGTGTTATGATACAGCTGGTTCTAGTGGAAGACTCTGAAGCCTGGACTTATTAGACTTTCTGATAATAAACTGATGTGTAACTGTAGTTTGAATACATGACATATCATATTTGTTTACTCAGTTAGAAAAATTTGATTTTGTCTTCTTCTAAATCCTTGCATAACTTCAAATGATATATCCTTTTTATAGAATTTAGATTTTCAACAAAAATCTGGGTATCCACAGACAATTTGAGGGACCAAGCTGAACAAATAAGCTCATAAAATAATACGCCACTTGTGAAACCTGTTATAAATAAAACTACTGCCATTGTGTGACAATGTTACTGTTTCCATTTTATTCCTCGATACTCAAAGGTTACACTCACTTTCGCTCTCTAGATTTGCACTTCTGGAATATTGTCATAGCAAAATTATAAGGCACATGGCTAGCTTTTTGATTAATCTTAGTTAAAATACTTGACCAATTGCTAGGTTGATACCTGTCCTTTGAGGATAACAGAGGAGTGACACCTGACTTCAAAGCCAGTCAGTTTTACCATTACACCACAGTGAGAATCGTTTGATGTACATCAAAGGATCAAACTGTCTTCTCTATCATCCACAAGGTGGTGACACTGAGCCTTCAATTTTGCTTCAACATATTCCAGGGGTGTAGAGAGGGGAAGTGAGTGTAACTCCTTGAGTATTGAGGATTATTTTATTGAAGTTAAAGATCAATTACAAGTTGCCCGTGGGCCGTACTTTCAGTCACTGAAGAATAAATGTACTATACAACAGTTACCATCCATCCCAACTAGCTACTGGCCATATATCCTGGAAAATATAAATTGCTAGCAGGTGATGGTGGATGGCAAAAGGTCATTAGAGTAATCAGAAATGTGATACATACCTCATTCAATGCAGAATTAATCGACCAATTAAATTTTAAAATGTCTAATATATAAATGACTCCTTGGCAAAATCACAGTAGTTTTTACTCTTGTATATTAAATGAAAATAACTGCAAACAACGGTTTTGATTTATTTGCAGTATCTTATTAAGACTCCAACTTCTGCTTAAAATTCTCAGATTTTTCTCTCTCTCAATATTTTGTGAACTCCACAAAAAAGTAAACAGTAACAAAACTGTCACACATGTCACTCAGATTTCCATCAGACGAATCTTTTAATTTAACATTCACTTTCAGGGAATTTCATGGTGTACTACCCATTTATATTCCACTATCATAAATTAATGAAATATATATAGGACATACAATTAAATTCAAATAAGGAACTTAATTTTGACTTAGGCAGAGTTTTTGTATAATAATAGTATATGATTATGGTACTAGCATATTAGGACCAGAATAACTTACCACTTCTCATGATACTGACGCCACAGTTTCCTTTCTCGTATCGAAGTCCCTCGTAAAATTGTCCTGGATATGAAAATCATTTTGTAATTAGGCCAAGAAACTATAGTTGTTGGTTTCAGGATCCCAATCAGTCCCAATTTTTTGTGCTTTCTTTTTCGGAAACATTCAATGAAGGACTGTTAAAGTCAAGATAACTCTTCTATACAAACTTGTTAAAAAGAGATAGAAAAAATAAAATCTATAATTACCTACCATGTAACAGGAAACAAACATGTTTTTGTTTTGCCTTCCTGATAAATATAATCATACAGATAAGAAAAAGGCTTATTGTGAGGATTTCAAACATTCCTTTCTCCATAGCTGATAACATAAACATCACATGGCTATTGTATATATAAAAGAAATTAAACAAAATGTCATGATACTTTCCAAATTTTCTTTGGGAGAGTACTGGGGTTGCCATTAATTACTATACCTGAATAATATTTTCTAGTCTGGCTTCAATTAAATTCAGAGCTAGCTTGCTACCCACCTGTAGGCGTGGTGACCTGGCAGTGACGGTAGGGCAGTTGATTTAGGCATTCTTCTACAACTAATCGGATCTGCAATGGGAAAAAACCAGAAGATAATTATATCTATTTGAATTCAGATGATGCACCACAGTTAAACAGGTTTTCATAAAAACATTTAAACAAATGTCAATTTCGACAAATTTCCATCACCTAATAGTTTCTATCAATAACAGAAGTGTTTTGTTTGAATACTTTTCCAACAGCAGCTGTTTAAGGACCGTTTCATACTACACCTGGATAAATTATTTACAAGTATAGAAGTTAACAATAGGCAAAATGTCTGAACTCGAGACAAAACTAGAAATATGTCAGAATGACATGAAAGTCACCCCATCATTCTGTATGATCATTTTCCGATAAATCATTGACCAAGCTACAACGGATATATTTCCACCTGTCAATCAAAAAAGTAAACAATTACCAGGTGTAAATACATACATGCTGTTCAGGTAGCCATGGCAACACAGGGAATTAATAGGAAAGCATGTCGCAAATATAACGTTGACCGACACCTCGAATACAGGGAGATCTGCGCGCTGACACGGTCACCTGGCATGGGCAGAACAGGTAATTGGAATATAACGATGTTGTTTTCACAACAATAAGTTTCAGAAAAGATTCAATCTTATATACGGATAAATCTTCTACTGTTTTTTGTTATGAAATACACTTTTCCAAGTAGTTTTCTGATCGTCTGCAAATCCAACTGAATCGGTCATCGATATCGGCAGAATGTGTACTGTACGCTTAAAGGCAGTCACTCCCACGAGGACCGCCAACAGCCGAATTCGGAAGACATGAAGAACAATAAACAATTGTGATATCAGCAATTCTCCTTCGAAAAGAAAAGATCGGAATATATTTGGCTGTTTTGAACCCGTTGATATTTAATTTTCAAACTCAAACTTTTATCATTATCGGTTCAATTCGCATGGATGTCACTTTGTAAATTCCTGCTGGCTAATAGTATCACGCAACTTCGACTCTTTGCGGTACACAAACTTGCTAACTTCGCCACTTTACACGTGTCGTTTTAACACATTCCTACGGACAAGATTGAAGAGTTCAGCAAGATTTTACCCAAGAACGACATTTTAACCACAGAGTAATAAATCTGATGCAATTCTTCGTTATGTTTCCCGATACGTGGTATTTATCAATTCACAATGTAACGTCCTGAAAAGTTGAGCCTACTTTACTCGAATTTATTTATCCGATTCTATAGTATTATATGACTTGAACTTGCAACTTTTCGTAATTGTTAAATTGGCAATGCAATCAGGGATTATTCAACGAAATTTAGCAGTTGTATTGGATTGTTCTTGAGTATCGTGTACACCCCTTTCTTGACACTTCATTTTCCCCTCAAAAAAGTGTGCACTATACGCAAATATTAACGGTAGACATTGGTCAGACATAAAATATCTAAATCAGTCAATAGCAATTTATATTACGACAGTTTACCCCTTCGGGAACCTCAAAGGTGCTTGATTCATACTCGGAACATCTTAAGGTTATATGTAATTCCCGTGGGGAATTTGGAACGCCTTTATGTTTATTCTATTACTGTTTAAAAAGGAAATCGATATCTGAGTTATCCAAGGGCTTGTAATTAGCGNGGGGGGGGGGGGGGGGGGGGTATTCTTTACATATATAGTGTGTGTTACATAATATTCATTATTTAAATTTTAAATATGATTGCACGATCACTGGTAATATTATATCATTTTATACGCTTTTTTGAAATTATTATTAGGGCTGCAATGATTAGAATAAATGTCACTCGGATAACCGCCTGTGCTTATCTGAGTGAAACAGGGTAACCATGTTTTCTTGTGCAATGAGATACAGCCACAAATGGCTCTTTATTAAATGCATAAACAAAGATAACTCAATATGTATGTCTTGTGAATACAGTTGTAAAATTCTCACAATCGTTATGCTCCCGACAGGGAAATTTTCGTCGTATCACTTCACTCTAATGTGTTGTCAACACTATGCGCACATATTTCTGTGCATCACTTCCGATTGGAACACTGACAAAAGCTGACTGTGAATGATGAGTTACATTGTTAAACAGAATGTTGGTTGATATTATGTTTACATTCAAAATTTATTGTTTGCATGAACTCAATAGTAAAGTAAGTATAATGATCACGGGTGTTTTCCAGGTCTGTCAATCAGCAGTCAGGAGGAGCAACATTTCTGCCCAGGAAGTCAATAAATACTGACCTACATTTTGGGTACGTAGATTTGCCAACAGGATACCGTAAATATGCGCACTTTTTTAGGTCAATATTGTCATGTCAAAAAGGGGGTGCGCACTATATGCAGGAACAAGTAATTCTTGGGTTATCGTTCTTGAGTTTCAGGTCCGCCATATTGAATTACCTCCCTTCAAATAATTTTGTTTGGAGTCGTCAGTCATATGATAGATTGAATTTTTATTGATAAGTCAATCAGTACTCTTTAAGACACAATACCAACATTCAGAGGTGTAAAAATTTAATAGCACGACGACCAGGCACTCTGGTGTTTGGCTAGCGCCCTACTATAGCTAGTCTAATAGCCGAAGAAATTTGAGTATACAAGGCTGAATTAACACAAAACTATTGTCTTAATCATATAAAAACAACACAAAAACTTATCTGTATGCAGGCTGCAAGCATTATGAGCAAGATACATGTTTTTATGGATCAAAGTCTTCCAAAAAATGATGTATTTGGTCCAGGAAGCCATGCTTTTGTTTACACTGTGTATTGGTCGATACAAGTTTCAGAATGGCAATATGAACGAACTGACGTTGACAGAAAGATTTGATATGAAAATAAAATATCAATTTGAAAACGATTTTACCTCTCTGTAATAACTCATAAATGTATTCTAAAATGTATTCTAAAATGTATTCATAATTTGCTACTTCAGTACAGACTATAGATGTCATGGATTTGGTACAAGCACCATTTTTCGTTTTACATTGAAATCTGCAAAATACACAACCGGTTAAAAAATAAAAGCATGGTGTTCTTTCAGCAACAGAACGATGTTTTGTTTTAAGTTATGCCATCTAGATATCTTGATATTTTGTTATGTTTACATCATATTCAATAATCATGCGTTATAATAAATAAATATAAATAAAAAAAAATTAAAAAAATCTGACCCCAAAAACGTACTGCGCACTATACCTGCAAATTTACAGTAGTACTCGTAACTGGAACACAATCGGGTTCTCGGTTACCCATTCAAGCCCCAATTATTATATAAATTTTGTTGATATAAAATATCAATTATAGCCAACTAGAACTGTATGTCAGTCTAACTAAAAATAACTCTATTAATATTTAATAATCAAAATATAGTACACTTTGCTGTTATATCTAATGATGACAAACAAGCTCAAGTTTCCCCGCTGATACCTCCCTCATTCAGAGCCTCTCTAAAAAAAATGAACAATAGCTTGAGGCACCACACCTACACCCATTTCGTGCATCAGGTTCAACCGGTTGGTCTGTTTTAAATGTAACAATTTCGAGTATAAATCATGTGGGACCTTGCAAGGCTTTGTCAAGTGAACGAAGCACACGACAATGCTGGCATGGACGCTTTATCATCTTCACTGTTGTGTTATTTTTCAATTTAGTATAATAAAATAAATATTGTCCTTGCAGTAGGGAAACACTGTTTCTTTCCTGGAACATGATTTATCATGGGAAAAGCAAATAATCTTGTTTCCCTAAAACACAGGCAATACAAGTGTTATAATATTTTTTATTTACAACACAGTCTGTCATACTATAGGGAGAATAGCGTCATTTACACTAGTGTCACCAGTACTATTGATCAAGTCGACAGACTAAATTGTCAGAAAAATTGTCTGGGTATAGACCTCATATTGTGATGTACCAGTTGCCGTTAAATGACACTCTATTTAAGCATTGAACTGTTTTTGTATGGTATTTGGCGTGCATTATGATTTGTTTGCTTGCAAAGCATGTCATTCAAATAGATCATAAATACCATACAAAAACAGTTCAATACTTATATTTACGTTTTCTCTGCCTCTTATGTTCTTTTTTAACTTATAATTTATATTTAAAATTTAAAATGCCCGCCTTATCAACAGTCCACACAATTTCGTTCAATAGTTTGAACAGCGTATTGTCGGGTGCTGATTGGAAAACAAAGTAGTATTTAGAAATTTTAACAAACATTTCAATTTTATTCCACAATTCAGTATCAATACAATTGCGTACGATATGTCTATAGGGTGATTTAAGTTTATCAATAGAACTCTGAGCTGAAAGTTAGATTTGAAATTGTTTCGATTTTTCCCTGGAACAAATTTGCGCACAGACAATTACAGTGAACACCGTAAATCCGACCTTGCCCTCCACGAGGGAGTTATTTTTGGAAGTTAATTCGAACTTTTCTCTTTGCTCATTTTGTGAAGAATCTAGGCGTGAATGTATTTGTTTATTGTATGGGAACCTGACAACAGTCGGTCGATTTTATAACAGCCTCGTTATTTGACACGTCGTCAGAAACTGAGGAACCATGGATGCGAGACGCGTGAAACTGATAGCATTTGAAGTGAGTGATCTTGCAACGGAGCACAGGTTCGTTACAAATGTCTGTATGTTTATGTGTGCTCATATCAGTAGGTCTGTAACATGTGTCAGTAGGTCTTTAGAATATGTGTATTTCAGACATTTGTAACGAACCCCTTTTGATCAGTGCAGTGAAACAGACAATATTTCTGATAAATTGCATGAGCGTTAAAATTGTTTCCATTGCCGGCATTGGTGATTTCAATCGATTTGCATTTTGTACGATATTGCAGACCTTGGTCTTGTTTTCGTTTTAATAAAAGTGTTTTTTATTTTATTTTTCACATTAATTTACAATGACATTGTCAAATCTCACGATGCCCAGCGATATTTCAGCAGCCGTCATGTTTATTTATATTGGATATTGTAGTTCCGGTCAGTGTTGTATTGATACGCTAAGAATTGTGTCTCGTGATGCGTGGGAATTAAAGTCCCATCAACGACACAGCTTTCAAAGAGGCTATATAGTGACAATGCCATGCAAATGTAAATATAATGTAATAACCACTTTGACATTGTTACCGGCAGAAATTTCTTTCATAATTTATACATACATCTGTATTCACCAATCATTCAAACCCTGCTGACTGTTCTATTTTTTAACTAAATATTCACCGAACATGTCCATATTATTTATACACATTCTACATCTACGTCCCACTGTTCTGTCTATCAGTTGACAGATAGACACACTGCTGTGCAGCGATTCATCAGAATACTACTTACCAATCTGTCTGCATAAAATATGAAATCGCCTCTTGAAGTTGCTCTGAAAATTAATAAATGTGCATTACATTTTTTTTCCTAGAATACCCCTATTTGAGTTTAAATCTGCATTTTTCATATGAGGTATACCACACAGTGACACAATCTATGTCGAATGCCGTACCATTTAAAAGTGGGAGGGAGCATTCATTATTTGTGGCTCAACGCAAAACGGTACATGCATAGGAAGGCTAGGCTGGACAATAATCAGAGCGGGTGCCGGTCTATTTTCGGACGCATTGTCTTGAAACAATTTGCAAGAACGGATTTTTTTACAGCGATAAATTACTTTTGTTTGAACGTAACTTCAAATAAAACAAATTTTGCACAAAATAAACATCTGCAAATGCACGTGGCGATATTTTTTTCTTTTCTTTCTTCGCGCACATGTTTACAAACAACACTTACTTTGATCGTAAAACGGTCTGAAGCTCACGAACATTGTCAGTAATTCGAAGTTTCTTGAATTTAGGACCAAAGTCATAATCGTCGTAGCTGTTTTGGTGTAAGGAATCTTGAATTAAATCTGGTTCCATTTCACATCAGACCGAATATCCCACCTTTCCCGCAAGACCACAAAATCAGTCAGTTTACTACTTTTATCACGCATCATTACCATCACAAAAAATAGTCCCTAAATAAATAGATCATTTGATAAAAAGTTAGACATTAAAATATAACGAATGAATAAAACTTATATTATTAGTACATTTTACAGAAGTTACATTTATAGAAAAAATATTTCATTCTATCATGTCAAAATGCATATTTGTTTACATGTTCGCGGAATAATCGGGTCAATTTAGGGTCAACCTAAGTTGACGTTCTCGTTTTCAAGCCTCTGCACCGCTTCCTGTTTGGCATGGCCGGTGCGTTGCGGTCGTGTTGTCAACGCATTGAAAATATATGCTGTTTTAGCCCATTTCACACCCAAACTTTACGTTTAATACATTCAGTCAATCCAAGATGTAGTAAAAGATTATTGTTAAGGCATCAAACTGCCTGGACAAAGCTTCTAGTAAGTGTAATAAGTCGATAGAGATTGTCCCTATGTTCACATGTCAGAAACTGACAGAATGTGAGGGAGAAGTCATTTATTTGTATTATTGATGTAAGTAAATTTAATGCATAGTCAACTGAAAGCCAAGTATCATGAATCGGAATCTGATATACGTTTCACTGAGATAAAATTTACACTTTGTAATCTAACTCATACTTGCATCGTTTTGCTTGTCATAGCTTTCTGTTGACATGATTATTCAGCACTTGACCGTTTTGCAAAGATAAAACACAAGTTCTTTGAAAGCCAATTTGTCTTTACATGAGTAAAAAGGAAATCACTGGACCGCGTTGACAGTTAAGTAAGACATGAGTCCAGGGTTCAAACCTGGGACCCTCAAAACTCAGGATGGACAAAATAACTACCAATTGAGCTACCTGGTTGTCGATGATCAACCCAGTCCAGTTCTGCTACATTTCTCCCTCCTTTTTCTGAGTATTTGCCAGAATGAAGACAACACTGTTTTCAACCAAGGTTCAGGTATCCCCTTGCCTTTCAACCAAGGTTCAGGTATCCCCTTGCCAAGCATACACCCATTACTTGAAACGAGGTTTGATCACATGTACCAAGTGTAAAAGTCGAGCAGAAAAATGCTGTACAGCAAAACCAGGGTTCGAACCCGGTACCCTCGGAACTCTAGGTGGACCCTCTACCACATTGAGCTTATTAACTTGTCCCCAAAGATCGACCCAGTCTAATTCCGCTACACACACATGATTATGGTTGCCTTCTAGCTAATTAAGGTCAGAGTAAGGTAAATTCCATTAAGCTCATTGGAAGCAAGGCACTTAATGTTCGGTCTCTAGGAGAAGCACTTTACTCTATTTACATTTAATCTGGATAACTTCACATTGAAGTTACCAACTATTACAATATATATATCATAGCCATTAAGTATAGAGTTGATTATCACATATGATACTTGACATCTTTTTGAAATTTCCATGTGGGAGATTGCGCATGCTCAGAATTAAAAGCATGAATAGAATGTGTGTATGTACACCCTAGGGGGAAAACAACACTTTCAAATGGCATCTTTTGAGCTGTTCTTTCAGATGAAATCATTAGATGTTAGAATATAGGAATAGTTAGCGAATTCACTGGTTGAAAATCCTCAAATTTAGGATTCAAAATCGGGAGAGTTGGCAAGTATGTTATCACATTGGCATATTATTACCCTTATAAAGATATTGGTTTAAAATTGTATTTCAGCCTGTTTATAGAAAGCCTTGTCTTGGTCGATGGCAGTGTTCTACAAAGTATAGAGAATCTTCATGTAAAACACGGCCGGGGCCTGTTTTTGGACAGGTAAATATATTGGCGCATTAAGCATGGTTTCATACATCAACTCAGCAGTGAAATTTCTACAAAACATAACCAAATAAGATTTCATGAATTTTGTGTATTTTCAATATTAAATCGATTTAGAAATCAGGGTTTCATTTACCTCCATTTGGGGGTATATGACCTCCTAAATTGCCTTTGACCCTTAAAATGTTAGAGGCTTGCTACATAATTGGGTCAAAATTTGTGATTTATGCCTGATTTTACCCCCCCAACGTTTGTGTCTTGCAAAAACTGGAGATATACATGTATGCGTATTAAAAGTTTTACTTAATTATACAGAGGTAATGTATGTTTACATGTATATTGATATTAATAAGAATATAATCAATATGGGATAAGGGGCATACTAAGCTACATATCAATTGACAAATGGACAGCAGTTGATTTCTGACGTACACAATTATGGTGCCGTTCATTGTTTCCAGGCTTCTAAAAATGGCTTTCTTAGGAGGGCTTGTGTCAGTACGGGCCACCCATCATCATCCACATCAACCGTCAACTCCAAAGACAACACCAAACATGTGAAGGATGAAGTAAAGGCCTTGGACATCACTCGGGCCATGCTGGGATATGTCTGGCCCAAGGATAAACCTGGCATTCGTATCCGAGTCGTAGCGGCTATGACACTTCTTATCAGTTCAAAGGTCAGTCGCTATACATGATGACGATTGCTTTTACTCAGTTGAAGAAACTTTGCGTGTAAAAAGACGTTTCTGAACAACATGTTAGTCAAGTCTAAGTGAAGGGTACTTGCATATATTTTATTAAGAACACTTGGTCACTACCAACCATTTTTTGACCAGCGGAGTGGAGGGGATACCTATGTGAGCCCCAGCTTACTTTGTTTTTTGATCACATTTTGACTTTAATACAAATTCAGCCAATTCAAACACAGATACACTTCTAGGCGATCCAACAACTCTTATTAAGCTGTATTTGTCTCTTTGCAGGCTGTGAATGTCCAAGTACCGTTTATATTTAAGTATGCTGTAGACTTTCTTAACGAACCTAGTAATATATTGAACATGGCTTCAGCACCAGCTACTGTGATCACCTCAGCTACGGCAATACTTCTTGGCTGTAAGTGTGAATTTTCTTGGTAATTTTACAAAGTTTCAGCAAGATAAATGCTATTGGTATAATTCAGTCATAAAATCTGTATTTAAGGATCCCTGTACCACTGTGACTGAAGTTTTCGTATATACAGTCACCTCCCCTTAATTTCATTTTGGATAACTCTCTAGTACAGTTGGCCAAGGACACTTTCGTTGACAAAGACCACAAGAAGTTCAGTCGGTTCGAGTGAAAGTTTAATAATCTGAGGTCAAGGATTTGAATCCTGATCCAGCCCCACTGAATATAGGTAAAACCTTTATAACCCTTCTTCTACCATAGGGATTAAGGGATATTATCCTTATTTAGTCTGGAGCATCCTTAGGCAAAAGGGACTCAATTTCGTTTAAACAGCGGGTGTGGCCCCATTGGGGGCAGAAGGAAGGGGCCCAATAAGGGAAACAGCAAATTCTTTAAAATCCTTCTTCTTCTGTAAGAATGACAGGATTTTTTTGAAAATTTGGTATGAAGCACTCTTGGGTGAAGGGGAACAAATTTTGTTTAAACGGTGTGTCTGACCCCCCTGAAGGCAGAGAGGTGGGGTCCAATAGGGGAAATATAGGTAAAACCTTTAAAATCCTTCTTCTGCCATAGGGATTAAAGGATTTTATCCTAATTTAGTCTGGAGCATCCTTGGGCCAAGGGAACTCAATTTTGTATAAGCAGTGGGTGTGGTCTCCCAGGGGGCAGAAGGGCGGGTCACAATAGGAGAAATAGAGGTTAAACCTTTAAAATCCTTCTCCGACCACTGGGATTAACGGATTTTATCCTTATTTAGTCTGGAGCATCCTTGGGTCAAAGGGACTCAATTTTGCATAATTGATGGGTATGACCCCCCTAGGGGCATAGGGATGGGGCTCTGTTTGAAGTTTGTTCTCGCTCTATCTCAAGTGCTGGATTGACCTTTCTGAAATTTCATATGTACTTACAGCACCTACCATGGAGTGCTATATCTTTACTTCATACCAATTATTTTAAACATATTCAGGTGAGCGATACAGGCCCTCTGGGCCTCTTGTTTTAAAGATACAGCTGAATAAAAATACTATCCAAAATACTTCTAGGTAGTTGAGTAGACTGTGCATCATATATAAAAGCTAGAATGTGTAGATCGGGTTAAGTACATCATTCATAAATTAAATGTTTCCTTTTGTAGATGGAGTTGCTAGGACCACTGCCCAAGCCTTTCATGAGCTACGTAATGCCTTATTCGGGAAAGTTGCACAAGATTCCATTAGACGTGTGGCAAGGAAGGTTTTCCTACACCTACACAGCTTGGATCTGGCCTACCACCTCCAACGACAGACAGGGGCTTTGTCTAAGGCTATTGACCGAGGCACAAGGTAGTACAATAAGGGTATTCAAATTTTAATTAAATTGTGCTAACTTAATTATGATAACCCATAAGATATAAATATACTGTATTTATGCTTATTATAGTAAGGTGCAGTGCTAGATGGTGATCTACACATGAAAATGTGAAAGTGCTGATATTGTGGCAGGATTGAATTTTGTCAAATTTATTTATAATGTTGTGTAATGTCATGTCCAGTATAGAGGTCAGTAGTGTGACGTCATAATATACCTATCATCTGACTGGCTAGTGGGGTTGGCGCCCGATACCTTTGTTTGACTAGGTAGATGATAGAGCGACGACAATGACAAGAGTGACAAGAATGCAAGTGAAAGTTGAATACTTGTACAGACATGAGCTGGACATGTAGTAAAGGCCTTCTGCCACACAGAGGGTGTGTATATCTTCACTATAACCACTGGCTCAGACTCAAATGTCAAGCTTAGGTTGTTTATTCACCCCCAAATCCCCCTCTGTTTCAATGTTATAAAAGGTAGTCAGCAGTAGACAGGTGCTCTGTCCAAGGCTTTTGACAAAGGTACAGTGGTTTGCTACCTCTGCTACATTACTTATGGTAATTCTAATATGTGTGGTCGAAAATGCATTTAGGTATCAATTTACAATATCTAACTTCCCAAATTTAGATGGCTTATATCTTATAGTATTCAAAGTTGTTACCTCTATTTGGTACTGGTGTGCCTATATTAAGTAAAGATACACTGCTCATTATGACAGACCAAATAGTTTGGATTAAATCGATATATAAGTTTAGAATAAAATAAGCGACCTGTTTGTGTACTATGCTACCATCTTATAGTATACATTGTTTAACGTGGGTTGTGAATAATGATGAATCTAACCTTAGTTGTTAATTATTTCTGAGTTATTAAATTCCATCAACTGTTGCCTCCAGTACAGCCTGTCAATTAGTGTTTACTTTACATGTAAAGCTTTCTACTTCGTGTTCCAACCTTATAACAGAATGTCTTGATACATGGTGTGTTTTATGGAACATGACTATAGCAAGTTAATGGGAACTCTAGATCTGGTGATCGGCAATTGGTTTAGAATCATAATGGATAATCAGTTTGAAATCAGAAGTAGTAAATAGATTGATGATCAACTGCATAATTCGTTTATAAATTCTTGGAACTTAATACCAAAATAAAGTGAAAACACACACTATTTTTACATCAACTGACAGAGTTGTAAACTTTGTATTCGGCTTCATACTTTTATAATGAATGAATTTTAATCCACTTTTATGCAATATAGATATTTTTTTCTACATAACCATCAATCATATATAAGAGTATGTGACTTTCAAAGCATACAACATTGTAAACATTTGACACTTTGATTTTGATTATGGTATTTGTAATCGATTATCGGAATCCAAAAGGGCAAACCAATTGTATGTTTATTATAATCGATCATCAGCCCATCACTTCAGTCCAAATAAAACTGCTGACAGGATCTAGACTGACATGATCCAACATAATATACATTACAATGGTGGTCGGGTGGCGCTGTGGATAGCAAATATGCCTTTCATCAAGGAGGCCGGGGTTCGATTCCCCGATCAGATGTTAAAAGGTATGGGTCACTTGCCTGAACACATGGGTTTTCTCCGGGTTCTCTGGTTTCCTTCCACATTAAGCACACTAACACGCAGGCCAACAAGCGTGACCGAACGGTTATGGGTTCGAGTCACTGCACAGCACTGTATTGTATCTTTGAGCAAGATGCTTTACCCCGGTTGTTCCAGTCTACTTAGCTGTAAATGAGTATGTGTTTGCATATTGGGCAGTGCTAGAATTGTTGAATGCTAGCTGTGAGCGCCGAAATGGCAGCACCGGCTGTATGCTCCCCATGGAGTTGTGAAAGATATTGGCTGGGCCCTATAACCACGGTTAATAATTTGTGAACTGCTTTGAGACAACCTACAAAATAGGTTGTAATAAAGCGGTATATATGAACCTCAAACTATTATTATTATTATTTATATATTTTACATTACAATGCATTCCTTGGAGTGTTTTAGTAATGTTTGTATATGTTATTCTTTACAGGGGTATAAACACTACCCTGACGGCTCTGATATTTAATCTAGGACCAACAATTTTGGAATGCCTCCTTGTGACTTCCCTACTGGTAAGTCATCAAACTCCACTGACATGGACTTGTATTGTTAGTTCTACCCAGGTATGAGATACTGGATACCAGGAAATTTTCGCCCCAGTCAAACCCATCGCCCTTTGTTCGTAAAAAACATATTTGCCCAGTGTTAATATCGCCCTTCACAATTAATATTGTTATGTAGTTACTAATAATTGCTGGAATGATAAATCTGCTTTCATTATGGAGGGCAAAAAAGCTGGAAGTTAAACTGCGGCGAACATTTCCCAATATACAGTACTCAGGTGCAGTACACGCTATATATGTCATTCATTCATAGTCTGATGAACAGGGTAGATGTTATTGAAATGTAAACGTCTCTGTAAATGACTTAGTATATAGAGTAACACATCATAGCAAAGTGCTTTTACATAAGGTGGTGAAGATTCTTATGAAGGGGTAAGATCATGTATGGACTAGTAGTTGTGAGTGATTTGATACCAGTCTGTTTCTATTTTCAGTACTACAATTGTGGATTAGTCTATGCTGAAGTGGCAATCGGGTGCATATCTGTGTATGCCACATTTACACTGGTATTTACACAGTGGAGGTAGATATCCTTTACTTTATAATTGTTATTCATCTCTCAGTCGTGAGGTCTAGAGCATTTAAAATCATTTAAATTTGGTATACTTAGGCACACTGCCTGATTTTTAGCTCACCTGGCCCGAAGTGAGCTTATGGCATGGTGCGGCGTCCGGCCGGCAACCGGCTGGCGTCAACTTTTTACTTTAACAACTTCTTCTCAGTAACCAAAAGGCCTAGGGTGATAATATTTGGCAAGAAGCATGCTTGGATAAAGGCCAACCACGTTTGTTCAAATAAATGACCTTCATCAATTTTCAAGGTCACAGGGGTCAAATATGTTTAAATCTTTATACAACTTCTTCTATATAACTAAGAGGCCTAGGAGGATGATATTTGGCCAGTAACATGCTGAAATGAAGGGCTACCAAGTTTGTTCAAATAAATGACCTTCATCCATTTTCAAGGTCACAGGGGTCAAATATGTAAAAATCTTTAAACAACTTCTTCTGAATATTCAAGAGGCCTAGGGTGATGATAGTTGGCCAGTAACATGCTGCAATGAAGGGTTACAAAGTTTGCCCAAATGAATGATCTTTATCTTTTTTTAATGTCACAGGGGGCAAATATGTTTAAAACCTTTAAACAACTTCTGATGAATAACCAAGAGGCCTAGGGTGATGATATTTGGCCAGTAGAATGCTGGGATGATGGGTTACAAAGTTTGCTCAAATGAATGATCTTTATCTTTTTTCAAGGTCACAGGGGTCAAATATGTTTTAAACCTTTAAACAACTTCTTCTGAATAACCAAGAGGCCTAGGATAATGCCAGTAACATGCTGGGATGAAGGACTACCAAGTTTGTTCAAATGAATGACCTTGACATATATATTCAAGGTCACAGGTGTCAAATATGTTTAAAAAATCATTGAATGACTTCTTCTTAATAAGCAAAAGGCCAAGGGTGATGATATTTGGCCATTAACATGCTGGGATGAAGGACTACCAAGTGAATGACCTTCGCCCAAATTCAAGGTCACAGTGGTCATTATATGTATAAATCTTTAAATGATTTGTTCTGTATAACCGAAAGGTCCAGGGTAATGATATTTTGCCAGAAGCATGCTCGGTTGGAAGACTATTAACTCTGTTCAACCTAATGTCCTTGTTCGACATTCAAGGTCACATGCGTCATATGTTTAAATCTTTTAAAAGGTTCTTATGAATCAAACACTGATATTCTGCCTGTAGCTGTATTTTAGTCCACTTTTAAGATAACAAGTGTGAGATTAATACCAGGTGAGCGATGCAGGCCTATTGGGCCTCTTGTTCTTTACTAAGATGGACTTGTGTCTGACGTTTATGCAGTACTAGTAACATTTGAAAAACTAGGTGAAGTTGTTTGAAAAAACCACAAAAAAACATAGAAATTATGATTTGTTTCTAAATATTTAATTTTCATTCAGGACAAAGTTTCGAAAGCAGATGAATGCAGCCGATTCTGATGCAGGAAATATGGCTATTGATTCCCTGATCAATTATGAGACTGTCAAGGTAAGGTGCTCTGGTTAACTCATTCACCCCTAAAGACACATTTGAACTCTTACAATTCAAAGGTTGGAATAGTTCATTATGAAATTTCAGGGGTGAATGAGTTCGGATTGATAAAGCTGAATTTATTTGAGAGAAGTTATGTTCTTATTACTTGCAGTAAAAGCCTCAGTAAAATTCATTTATGAACGCCCCGGGGCCATTGAAGATACCCTATAGTTATCAATCTGTCTGTCCTTAATCAGTGTATTTGTGGAGATAATCAAAAAGTCTAAAATTTACCATATTTCTCATGGTGATGTACTTTTATATGTAGATATGTTATAAGGGTTTTACAAGTTGTTTAGGTCAAGGTCAAGTTCACTTAACAAAATATGGGGATATACCATTTATATATTGCCCTATCAAACTTATCATTTTAGTGGTAAATTTTAGAATATCGACTCAGAGCTTTTGGGCAATCATTTGTGTTCTTCTCTTTATCTGACTTTGTTCATTCTTTGTGGTAAATATTATTTGTTGAATAATATACATATGTACCACTCGATTACCTGTATTGCATCCCTGGTGATTTCTGTGAGTTCTGTTTTGTAATTTTATGGATAAAGGCACATGACGGGGGCCATACCTGCTTACCCATGAATCTCCCAATGGGGGTCATGACCCCCGTTGGGAAATTCTGTGGGGGGTGATAACGCGCGACAAAAAAAATCACGTCAAAATTAATCATTTAATTTTTGCGATGTCACAGCATTACATATGTAATTGTGTCTTCTGGTATGGTTAGGACTTTTTTTAAATAAATAAAACAACTCTTTTCACACATTTTGTTTTATTACATTCTATCTTTTCAAAATACTAATTTCCCTGTACATACAGGTAGTTTGAGTTAATTGTAAAAAACTTGGCATCTTTGATGCATACTGGGAGCATGAACTCGTCTCAAAGCTCCTCTATCTTTTTCTCCCTCTCATCTGTATGTACTACATTGGGAATATGACTGTCTGCAGGATGGAAACTGGAAAAAAATAAAATGTTAAATACAGGTATTTCTATTGGTTTAATATCTTGGTACAGTCAAATTTGTACGACTGCTACAAATTTTAAAGCAATCTCGCGATCGCGATATGGGAAAGCATTTTCATGCAGATTTTGGTAAATTAGAATGATCGTGATCTGCCGTTGAGAAAGTAATGTGCTCAGCACTGAAGTTACTAAACAACGACTTTGCGTTTATAACCTTGCCGTCAGACATCGTGAAAATCGTTAATCGTATGTCTTTCATAAAGAGCACGCGAACCTACCGAAAATATTTTAAGTATACAGTACAGTTTACAATAAGAATGATCAAGCTCAACATTTTATGACATATATGAAGCCACTCAAAATCCCTTTTCCACAAAGTATTGCAATAGCAGACATACTTATTCTTTTTGTCTAACATTTAACGCAGTCTGGATTACGGTTGTGCATGTGAAATCGAAAGAACTACGATCAGAATTATATGCACTGTTGTAATAGTAAACGGTACTCACCTTTCAAATTTGCCTGGCTTCCACGAAAGAGAGACCGCCATTGTGAAAACATTTCAAATTGTGTACTGACTTTACCCATACATTAATGCTAAACCTACGAGACACACGAATGTAACACTTCCGGAAATAGGGACATACTATTATGAGCGCGGAGGTGGGTCATTCCGGGTCATGTTGACGGAATGCGGGAGATTTGTATCATCCTCGTGGGTCATAAGTTGGTCGCGGGTCATGCAGTTTGTGAAAGAACAATGTCCAGTAAATATGTGATTTTGTTATAGAATCTTATAAATGAGTTCTTGAATGTACATTGTATAAGATAAAATCAATGGTACATGTCTAGTATCACTATGCACTGTTTTCATTTCAGTATTTTAACAACGAAACATATGAGGCAGACAGATATGACAAAGTCCTCGCTAAGTATGAGCAGGCATCGCTCAAAATAACTACAAGTCTTGCTGGCCTCAATTTTGGCCAGAACTTCATTTTCAGCGTGGGCCTGACTACAATGATGGTTCTCTGCAGCCAAGATATTGCAGCAGGTAATATCCAAGATAACCATGTTTATTAACTCATTCACCCCTACATGTTTAAACTGGACTTACCCAATCCTTGATTTGATAAGGTTCAAATGTGATTTTAGGGGTGAATGGGTTAAACTTCATTAGCTTGGTTATTTTTGTAGTTTACATAAATTACGAAAATATCACAATTGCAAATTTAACATATATATTGTGTAACTGAGCAAACGAAACTTGTTACAGATGGGCCGAGGGCAGATCCTTGAAGTTCCAGGGATTACGCTCACCTGTGCTCCATGCACCCCTTGAATATGTCATGACAAAATTGAAGTCTCTGTATGTGCTACCTTGTGAATGATACAAGTAGACTAATTTGATCTTTTGATGTAAATCAAAATAATTGCAGGGCATGCACAGCAGAATTGTAAAATTGACAGGCTTTGATGTTGAGTGTCACTCTTTCATTTTCATCGGATGGTTATCAGCCTAGCGATTGGTTAGTTTTTTCCACCTAAAACCAATCAAATTACATACTCCGTGCTTTTGATTTTGTCATGACATATTTCAGGGCTGCACAGAACGTAAGTGTGCGTAATCCCTGGAAGATGCCCAGGGCACAGATACACAGAACCAGAAACACCTTGAAATTCTACAAACTAATGAAAATTTTGGATTTAGGAAATACATCTGTATCTGTATAGTGAAAAAAGTGTTCATATGTGGATTTGACATTGTGGTTATCACTTCAGCCTTCCATGCAGACAAAAACTGTTCAGAAATATGAGTATTTTAATGTAATTCTAATAAAAATGACCATTTTAAATCCTAAGACATGCATTTTATTGATCAAGTTTAATACTTTAGAAAATATCACCGGTTTAAAATTTGATACAGCAGTGATCAATCTACAATTTATTTTCATGGGTCCTCCTCAACCGTATTGCTAAAAACAATGGGTCCTACAATGTTAAATTTCAGTATTTCCATGAATTCTACCAAGTCACATCAAAATTCTATGAATATAGGACTTGGGACCTGTATGCAGATTTATCACTATGTATACATATACCTTATTTGTGTGTAGGTACGATGACAGTGGGAGACCTGGTCATGGTCAACGGCTTGTTGTTCCAGCTGTCTGTCCCACTCAACTTCCTGGGCTCTGTGTACAGAGATGTAAACCAGGCCATTATTGACATGCACACAATGTTCAGCTTGCTGAAAATCAAAAGCAGTGTACAGGTAGGTACCTCACAGCATGATAATTGTCCCTCAGAAAGAGCTCTGATAGTTGGTGTTACTGGTGTTGTTGGTGCAAACATCAAGAACAACTCAGTGTTGTTTTTCACACCACATAATGAGGTAGTTTGAAAAATAACACAATAATACTTGCTAATGCATAATGATGTTACTGTACTTTCAGAACTCAAAAATGGTTTTAGTGGAGAAAGTTATCAAAATGAAGGACTATTTCATATTATCACAAGTGTTGTTGAAAAAATACTCAAGCAAAGAAAAAGACGATTTCCAGCACATTATGTAAAACATATAAGAGTTAAAATAGAACCTTGTCATACTGCTATCATTTGTGCAGCAAAAACTATATTGATACACTTCAGCTGTTAAATATAAATAGAGAAGATAAGGCATGGTGGGTGGCAACAGTTATGGTATGGATGTTGTGTGGGAATATGAGTTAACCTCTGGGTTACAGTTGTAGTGACTCAACAAAATACCCACCATCATGTTAACCATTTCATCCCTATGTTACTTTAGTAGACTCTACCATGCATTGATCTGGATGTGTCCATTGTGGTCTACAGTAGTGAAAGGGTTCAAGAAATATCCAACTTTATTCTGTACATCTGATATTGCAGTCCTTGCCTAATGCTCCCCTGCTGAAGGCCTCTCCCCAGAAGTCGGCCATTTCCTTCGACAATGTGCACTTTGAGTACACCCCTGGCCGTGGCATTCTGAACGGATTGACCTTTGATGTACCATCCGGCAAGAAAGTAGCCATTGTCGGTGGAAGTGGATCAGGGTAATTGTTTTTATCAATGCCAGCAGCTTTTCCTGAAATAAAACATTCTGTAATTCCATGTATCAGATAAATAAGCATAATTTTTTTCTACAGTTTTCATCATAGGTTTCCCTACATTATATTTTTTCACTCCACCATATTATCAAGCTGTATCTTGTGACTTTGTGACCTGATTGATACTACATAAGGATATTTTGGACGTTTCAAATCATCTGTAAACTGACAAAAAAAATACTTAACTTAAGTCCTTATGAAAATGGACACTAGAAAGTCTAACTTATCCAAAAGGCGGCCAGCTACATGTATGTGGTCTTTGACTTCTTCATAGTGTAGAAACTCTCTTAAAAGACATCTGTGAACCACTTGCACTACCATATAAATGTTTGTCATATTTTTTCTCTGTTCATTTCAGGAAGTCTACGATAGTAAGATTGTTGTATCGTTTCTACGATCCCCAACAAGGCAGCATCACCATTAACGACCAGAGTATACAGGAACTGAACCTTGACAGCGTGAGGCAGGCCATAGGAGTGGTACCTCAGGTAGTTACCTCAAGACATTTTTATTCTCCCGCCATTAAATTGGAGGGCATAAAGTGTTGTCCTAGTCCGTCCCGTCCCGTCAAACACTGGAACTAATTTGACATGGTGTCGGGGTCGTTCATGTCTTACAGACATTTTCTAGTTTTAAGGTTAGAAAGCTCCAAAAAGGCAGTAATGACATTATTTCTCAATGATTTATTGTCCGAGGTAGTAGAAAGATTTTCTTTAAACAAGAACTTTATCTTTTATTTTCAATTGTCACACCAGTATACTCACTATCTGAACCATTGTCTTATAATAAAAATATGGAGGTTAAAGTTCACAAGTAATTACGTTCTTATTCAATAGTAGCTTGAATTTTAGATGCAAACAAAATTCAAAGTGATTTATTTACTTCCTTGCTGTCAAGCCAATTTTATCACTACTGTATATCATAAACACCATTAGGTGACATTTTTCAAGATGGCAGCAAATATGTTGGCTTGTGTTTACATAATGATTATGAAACAAGTTATATTAGCTTATATTAAATACTTTTGTTGGCCTGGATGTCAGCACACAAATGGTCTGAATGCAGGTATCCAGAGAAAAATTAAGTGGTTCACCGGGCAGGTGACCCCGTACCTTCTCACATCCGCTTTTGGAAATCCATATCCTGGCCATCTTGGTGAAGGACAAGTGCACTATCCAACTGCCTATAGCCCTTCAGTTTTTGCCAATATTGGAAACAATGGTCATTTATTAATTTATTTTGCATAAAGAGATTTCTGAATGACTACCGCAGGGTAATAGCTCTTTTATCATAGATGTAATGAAATAAACAAGAGTATGACAGGGCAGAACAATATAAGCCAATCCCATGTCAATATGACATACTTTAAATCTTCCTGATGCATTATTAAGCTTTGCCCTTGTCATAGTATAATATAAATATTTACCAAGTTTCATCAGAATCAAGTCATATTTGACAAAGTTATTGTACAGAAACCATCAACCAATTGGAGCACAGTATGCTAATTAATTATGCACAGATTTTAACTTCGAACTTAGCCTCAGCCTTTGTGTAGTGTACATTCATACTGAGTTTCATCAAAATCAAACGATGTTTACGCAACTTATCTGATGGAAACTAAAATTTGGATATTGGCCAATCAGAGGACAGTAGGCTAGTTAATTATGCGTGAATATTTCTTAATTTTGAATTTAACTTAACCTTTGCATAATGCAATGAATACCAAGTTCCATCAAAATTATATGATTTTAAAGCAAGTTATCTTACGGAAACCAAATTGGGACGGACAGACGCTCCCTATACCCTTATATGTGCCATCAAAGTTTTTGACAGGCATATGTTAAACCTTTGGTTGGTATGTTGTTACACCCCTATTGCTGTTAACACCTAGAGTTGGATTTCTTAGAGCCTGTCTATCTTGACTTGAAGTAAAAGGTATCAATGACCAACAGGTAAAGTTTAATATAGTATATCGGGCTACACTTTATCTGGTTAGTATATCAGGCTACACTTTATCTTGTTAGTATATCAGGCTACACTTTATATGGTTAGTATATCGGGCTACACTTTATCTGATTAGTATATCGGGGTACACTTATCTGGTTAGTATATCAGGCTACACTTATCTGGTTAGTATATCCGGCTACACTTTATCTGGTTAGTATATCAGGCTACCCTTTATCTGGTTAGTATATCAGGCTACCCTTTATCTGGTTAGTATATCAGGCTACACTATATCTGGTTAGTATATCAGGCTACACTTTATATGGTTAGTATATCGGGCTACACTTTATCTGGTTGGTATATCGGGCTACACTTTATCTGGTTAGTATATCAGGATACACTTTATCTGGTTAGTATATCAGGCTGCACTTTATCTGGTTAGTATATCAGGCTACACTTATCTTGTTAGTATATCGGGCTACACTTTATCTGGTTGGTATATCAGGCTACACTTTATCTGGTTAGTATATCAGGCTACACTTTATCTTGTTAGTATATCGGGCTACACTTTATATGGTTAGTATATCGGGCTACACTTTATCTGGTTTGTATATCAGGCTACACTTTATCTGGTTAGTATATCAGGCTACACTTTATCTGGTTTGTATATCAGGCTACACGCGAGCTGGTTAGTATATCACGCTACACTTTATCTGATTAGTATATCAGGCTACGCTCTATCTGGTCAGTATATCAGGCTACACTTTATCTGGTTAGTATATCAGGCTACACTCTATCTGGTTAGTATATCAGGCTACACTCTATCTGGTTAGTATATCGGGCTACACTCTATCTGGTTAGTATATCGGGCTACACTTTATCTGCTTAGTATATCGGGCTACACTTTATCTGGTTGGTATATCGGGCTACACTTTATCTGGCTAGTATATCGGGCTACACTTTATATGGTTAGTATATCGGGCTACACTTGATCTGGTTAGTATATCGAGCTACTCTTTATCTGGTTAGTATATCAGGCTACGCTCTATCTGGTTAGTATATCAGGCTACACGCGAGCTGGTTAGTATATCAGGCTACACTTTATCTTGTTAGTATATCGGGCTACACTTTATCTGGTTAGTATATCGGGCTACACTTTATATGGTTAGTATATCGGGCTACACTTGATCTGGTTAGTATATCGGGCTACACTTTATCTGGTTAGTATATCGGGCTACACTTTATCTGGTTAGTATATC